GAAACAGGAACCCTCATACACAGCTGGTGGGAATGCAAACTGGTGCAGCCTCTATGGAAAACGGTATGGAGATTCCTCAAAAAATTAAAAATAGAAATACCCTATGATCCAGCTATCTCACTACTGGGAATCTATCCAATGAACCTGAAATCAACAATCCAAAGTTTGAGGCCTATGTACCCCCATGTTCACTGCAGCATTATTCACTATAGCCAAGAAGTGGAAGCAACACAAGTGTTCCTCAACTGACGATTGGATCAAGAAGATGTGGCATATATATACAATGGAATACTACTCAGCCATAAAAAAACGACAAAATCGTCCCATTTGCAACAACATGGATGGACCTGGAGGGTATTACGTTAAGTGAAATAAGCCAGAAAGAGAAAGACAAACACCGTATGATCTCACTCATATGTGGAATATAAACCAACACATGGACAGAGAAAACTGTATCATGGTTACCAAGGGCAATGGGGGTAAGGGTTGGGCACAAGGGGTGAAGGGAGACATGTATATGGTGATAGACAAACAAAAATGTACAACCAAAAATTTCACAATGGTATAAACTATTAAAACATCAATAAAAAAAAACTTAGTAAAATTCTCTTATAACTTTCAATTTAAAATCCCAAGTCTAAAATCAGTTATTTAATAATTACACATATACTGGAATCACAGGACTATTCCAACAACTATTGTTATATGCTAAATTTTCTAAAATGTTGCAAATACATTAAATACCAAACAATACAAATTGTTCCTAAACTTACCACAAAACTACTACTAATAATAATATGAGCTGTTTATTCCATTCTAAACCTTTGCAGATTCACAGTCCTTTACCCCATTACTCCTAAGCAAGTAGAATTTGGTATTCCCACTTCTGTGGCCTAGGGCCTGGGCAGCTGAAGGATGGAGGGGCAGGTGGGGAGGGGGAACCGGACACACTTTGGACAGAGAATTTGGGTCAAGATGAGAGCTCTGATGTTTTCCCTTGACCCTTACCAACACAGCAAGTCCTTATTTCTGTAACATATATCTGTTTTCTCTTATCCTCACCAATCCTGTAGATTATCAGTCTACTGAATTTTTGGCCAATATTATAACCTATAAGGGTATAAGGTTGTTTTCTACATGTTTTGTCACTTTAATTGTTCATGAGAATTTTTCCATATTGCTGTGTGATCATCCATTGGTTTTTTTTCCCCCAGCTTTACGGAGATATGATTGACATATAACATCTACCATTGTTTTTACTGGTTACATTCTATTCCATCCAGAAAGTGTAACCCTTTGAGGTAACCACTCACTAGTCGTCGGATATTTAGGTCCAGCTCCCAATGTTTGCACTCCTGATTCAGCATTATAAAGAACGCTTTGGTGAACATCTTTGAGCATGTTAGGCTGTGTCCACATTTTGAATCACTTCTTTAGAATAGGGTACCAGAAATACCCTAAGGTCTAACTTAGGTCAAAGATGATGAATATTTTTATAATTCTTGATACATCTTGTCAAATTGTTCTCCCAAAGCATTTTATCAATTTACAATGTCCTCAAGCATTGAACAACATCTTTAAAGTATTTTTCTGCTATTTTTTTGTTAAGACATGTCAAAAAAGTTGAGGTGGAAATTGCACCTTATTAAATTTGTATTTCATTAGTGATGAAATAATTTTCCATATTTGCTATTGGTGGTTCCTCTTTTGTAAATTATCTACCAATATTCTTTGCTAAGTTTTTTAAAAAAGAGATTAGTAAAATTGCTTTCAGGGCAATGAAAGCGGAGAAAAACTTGGCAAAGAGTGAAAAAGGGTTTTATTCTTGACATTCAAAGGAATTGAGAAAGAATCATCATAAACAAATCTATTCAACGATCCCTGAAAGAATGCCCAAAGGAAGAAGAACAGGTCAGGAACTATAAACCCCTTACTTAGCTGCTGTAAGTAGCGACACACTGAGGCAGTGTGGTTCATTGGGAAGAACAAGGACTTTACACACAGACAAACCTGGCTTCTGCTTCTGGCTCTAGCCAGTCCTGAGTACTTTAAGTGATTGCTTAACCTCTCTGAACCTCAGCATCATTGATGAGGATCAAATTGCCCACCTTCCAGGAATGTGGTTGGACGAAATGAGATGATGACTCCAGAATGCCAGGCTGGAAGCCTGACACATCCAAAGCTCAGCAACACCTGAGCACAGATGAGGAGAGCCACCCTCATTCACCTTACACATCCTGCAGCAGGAAAGGTAAACCAAGGCACTGGTGCCAGGGTGGCACCACTTGCCTATTTCAGGAATGGCAGTGTAGGGTGCAATGGGTTTTACAAAAAGGAATTTTACATGATCTGTATCTGCATAAAGTTTACAGTCTGCTTAAGGAGACAAGGAGTAAAACCAGAAAGACCTAAATTACACTGTAACACTGATGACACCTACCTCTCCAGGCCTTATGAGGTCCCCAGCTCACTGGATCATCTATCCTATTAAATCCTCCCAACAACCTTGTGCCCCTTTTTCCTACCTAAGTGAGCCACAGCTGGTTTCTGTTTCTTGCAATCAAAATCTGGAACTTACACATATGCTGACACCTCTCCACCTCTTGTAGGACACGTGCCATTCCTTTCAGTTGCCTGGCACCTTTGAACATTCTTTGTCTCAAATCTATTCCTACGCATGGTAGAAACCAATCTTTTGTTCATTTATTCATTCATTCATTCGTTCATTCCTAAGCACCTATCAGGCTGCAGGTTCCATTCTAGGTTCTGGGGACACAAGTATCAGTGAACAAAACAGGCAAAGGCCTCTGCATCCCATGGAGCTTATGTTCTAAGAGGTGAGAGACAGGCAATGAAGAACAAACTCAGTAAGTAAAGAAACCAGAAGATGATAAACACTACAAGAAAGAAAACTACAGCAACGTAATGGTTTCACAGAGCCAAAGTTTACGGCACGGGCTGTAATTTTAAACACTGAGGTCAAGGTAACCTCATGTACGTGAGATACAAGCAAATACTTACAGTAAGTGAGAAAGTTAGCCACCTAGGGGAAGGGCTTCCAGGCAGAGAGGGCAGCAAGGGCAAAGGCCCTGAGGTGGGAATGTGCCTGGCATGTTCCAGGAGGCCACTGTGGCTGAGGCTTGGTGAGGGAAGGGGAGGGAGAGAAGAAATTGGAGAGACGTGGGGCCAGGGCAGCCTGTCTGGTTCCTACTCTGAGCAAGGTGGGAGCAATTGCAGAGTTTTGAGCAGATGAGTGACATGACTAAAATTTTAAAGGACTATTCTCTATACTTTGTATATGTTTGAAAATTTCCCTAATAAACAATAAAAATAAAAGGCTGACTCCAGCAGCTGGGTTTCAAAGAGGCCATGCGGGTACCAGGGCAAGGTGGAAGCAGGGAGACTCATGAGGGTCTATCCCCAGAATCCAGGTGAGCGATGACAGTGGCTCAGACCAGGCTGGTCACAGGAGATCACTGGATTTTCCACCAGTTTGGTAGGTCAAACCCATAGGATTTTCTGGTGGAGGGTGAGAGAAGGGAAGGAGTCAAGGATGCCTTCAAGATTTTTGGAATGGGCATTGGGGATTTTTGGAAAGGTGGGTATTACCATCAGTTGAGACAGGGATGACTACGAGTTTAGGGGTGTATTAGTTTCCTGTTGCTGCTGTAATAGATTTAGTGGCTTCAAACAACACAAATTTATTTTCTTACAGTCCTGGAGGACAGAAGTCAGAAACCAGTTTCACTGGGCTAAAGTCAAGGTGTCAGTGGGGCTGGTTCTTTCTAGAGAATCTCCTGAGGGGAGAATCTGTTTCCTTGCCCTTTCTCTACCTTCAAAGCATCACTCGGATCTCTGCTTCCATTATCACATCGCCTTCTCCTCTTCTGTGTCAAATCTCCCTCTGCCTCCCTTTTATGAGGACACTTTCAATTACATTTAGGGCCTGCCTGGATAACCCAGAATAATCTCATCTCAAGATCCTTAACTTAATCACACCTGCAAAGTTCCTTTTGTAATATGAAGTAAAATTCACTGGTTCCAGGAATTAGGACCTGGACATCTTTGGGTGCCATGACTCAGCCACCACAGCGGGTAAGTTCAGGAGCTCAGTGTTGGATGTGTTGAGTTTGAAATATCTATTAGACATCGAGGGGAAATATTGAGTAGACTGCCGAGTACACAAGTGTGGCATTCAGTGAGGGCCTGGACTACAGATACTCATGTTGGAGCCACCAGCATGTAGATGAGATTTAAAGCCACGACACTGGGTTTAAAGCAGATACTCACTTCCCCAGCCTTCCTCGCAGTTAGAGCACAAACATGTGACCAAAACTCTGCCAACTAGATGTGCCCGTGTGAGCACAATGGATTAAAGCAGCAGTTGCCACACAGGGTCCATTCTAGCCATGGGGGTGCCCAAGGCGCCAGCTTTCCAGGGCAGCAGTGGCAGAGATTCTAGAAGCAGCATCGAGGCGCATCACAGGTACTCTCTGAGGCATCTGTGCCCAGACAGGCTGCACTGGGGTCTCTTCGGGACAGTTCTGGGTGGGACTTTGGTGTGGCTTCCAGTCCTGCTTCTCTGGATCTCCCAGGAAGATGCTGTGAGTGACCTAAAACCCTTGAATACATCCCATTTCTGCTGAACTACCTGGACCTGGTGTGTGACACTTGCATTTAAGAATTTTGACTGATGCGCTCTCTACATGAACTTTAGGAACCTGAACCCTGCGCTCTGCCCAGGCTCTGGGGCATCTTTCTAGTGTCCTGTCTAAAAAGGAGGTTGGGCACTTATACACACGTTGTTTTATTCAATCTTCACAACAAACTTGTGAGATGGTTTTCATTATTTTTAGTTTTGTAGATGAGGAAACTGCCAAATTCAGGTCAACTGTCTCCAACTGCAATGCTTTTACCATCACCAAAGGGCCGGTGTCCACAGTCTCATAGGCACAGGGGTTCTTCAGGGAAGTGGATCAAAACTAGTGTGAAACGAACGTTCCCAATGAGGAGCAGCGGGCGAAACGAACGTTCCCAATGAGGAGCAGCGGGCGGTGTGTTGACAAAGAGTATGAAGAAGCCGGAAAGACAGGCTAGAATAGGACTTGGTGGTAGGAACCTGGATGGGCTTTGAGCAGCAGGGATGGGGGAGGGTGGATTTCATTTTCAGGTGAGGAAAGTGAAGACCCAGGTCCATAGGTCTTTACCTCCCAGGAAAGAACTCAAAAAAACGCACGCCAAATTCACAGGAAATGAAGAGCACAGCATGAGAGAGGATTTAAACCCATCACCCACCCCGGGATGTTAGCTCCAAGTAGACATGTGGGTGATGGTGGATCTGTTGTCCCAATTTCCAGTCAAAAGAGCACAACGGTTGCTGGAGTGAATTCTGAAAACCTCACAGACTCGCTTCAGACCCACTCACCAGCTGCATGGTCTTGGGAGAGTCCTTCATTAGCTTCCCTGAGCCAGAGTTTCTTTACCTCTGAAATGAGGATAAACCAGTGAACCACACTGGTTCAGATACAGGTTTGGTTGCCGTCGAAATGACCCCAAATCCCAGTGGCTTAGACAAGACAGATGTTTATTTCTCATTCAGTAACTGTCCAGGCTGATATGGTGACCCCATGGTATGGGAGCACCCAGCGTCCCTCTGTCGTGTGGCCCTGACATGCCCCACTGAAGATGTCTCAGCACCATACCTTATGGGTCCACACACCAGCCAGAAGGAAAGGGGAAAGGGAATGCACGTTCCTTCCTTTCAAGGGCTTAATCCAAAAGTTGCACACAGCACTGAGCACAGTGGGTTGGAAGGCTAGGAAGGACACTCGTTATTCTTGGTAACCACGTGCCCAACTGAAATCAAGCATTCTATTACTAAACGAGGAAGAGAAGAAGAGCTATATGGGCGTGATGAGCAGTCCCTCTGTCTCTTTCTCTTTCTCTGTCTCTGTCTCTCTGTCTATCCAATGGACTAGTTACAAGGATGTACAAAATATTCTCTGTAATGCACACAACAGAACACCACAGAGCTACTAAAAAGAATGAGGCAGCTTTATCTATAGATAGGGAAACAGCACCAAGATACACTATTATGTGAAAAAAGCAAGTTGCAGAATCCTATATATACTACCCTTTATATGAATAGGATAAGAGAAATATGCTTCTGTGTGTGCGTGTTGTCACAGGCACAGAATATTCTAGAAGGATACACAAGAAACCAGAAATAGTGGTTGCCTCGCGGTAAGGGTATTGTGCGATTAGGAATAGAGGAAGAAAGATTATTCACTTTTTCTACCCTTTTATATCTCTGAATTTCATCCCATGCATATGTACTACCATTTCAAAAAATTTAATATGATTTTAAAATATATTAGGATTAAGAAATAAATTTTAAAAGGCCCTCCTGCAACCTCACTCCTAGAATTCCTGCTGAAGCAAGTGCAGTTGGAGCAGAGGCCACATCAGGGCAGGAGTTCAGCTCAGCTGGGCAGATGTTCATCAAATCTGTACCAACCTAGTAGCTCAGAGAGACTGAGAGAAGTGCAGAAGTACACACCTTACTCTGCAGCCTGGCATTTTAGGGGGTGAATGTAAAGTCACATTGCAATTCACCAGTGTTCTGTAAATCGTAAGGACTGGTTATCTTAGGGAAGCAAGGAGGTGGGGTTAAAATATGTACTTACGACTTTAAGGCACAGTCAGGATGAGTGCTGTGGTCCACGCACTTTAACAGCTTCACTGGTCTATAGAATGAAAAGAAATATTTAAGAGATGATTTAAGTGACTTTCATTCATCAAACATTTATGATGTGCCTGCAAGGTACTGGGGATACAAGGTCTCTGACCTCGAAGAACACATAATTTCTTTCTTAAAATATTAGCCAACATTTATTGAGCACTTACTATGTACCAAAAAAATTTGATTATGTATTTTACATAGATTATACCATTTAATCTTCACAACAACCAAATGGAGCAGGTACTACTATCATCTCCAATTTACAGTTAAGAAAGCTGTCCAGAGGACCTTGCCCAAGTTCTCACAGTAGTGAGCGGTGGAGCTGAACTTGAACCTTGCAGGCTTGCTCTAGAGCCCAAGCACGGAACCACTTCTGTATGGATGCACGATTTTGCTCGGAAAAACCTCTTGATAGGTACCTAGGCAGAAAGTTGGACCTGAAGCACATGGTGATGGCTGGTACCCAGGCTGCAGCAAAGAAAGCGAAATTGCTCTGCACATTAGTGGGAGAAGATGTGGAGTTCCAGGGCAGCCAGGAGGGCAGGGAAAGCCACAGTGAAGAGAGGAGCCAGGTAACAGTGGACACTGGGCATTGGGTGGGATCTCGACCAACAGAGGATCCCTCGTGGCAGGGTGACCAGAGGGGACTTTGAAAGAACAGAAGATACACTGTTCCTCTACGGCATGCTACATGACCCCTCCCTAGGACTCGCCTACTTTTCAGTAAAGTCTACACTAAACAGAGCTTTTTTATGAGAATAGTTTGTTATTGTTGTCTTATGCTCCCCCAAAACGCACTGAGTTTCAGAGTCTGGTTCAACACAGTGCTAAGCAGAAAACAACCAGAAGGCAAGAGAGGCTGTGAAAAGATAAGACTTCGCCAAAATTGGCAAGAACCCTGTGGAGAACTTTCAACTGACGCAGGACAGAGGCAAATGTCCCCTGAATTTTGAGGGGCAGGAGGTTCTCACTTACACCCGGCTTGCAGTTTGATTTGTTAACCTTCGTCGCCCTCCCACATTAAGCCTTTGTTATCTCCTCTGTGCTCCCAGGAACAACACAAACCCCTACCTTTTTTTTTTTTTTTTTTTTTTTGGTGAGGGAGATCAGCCCTGAGCTAACATCCATGCTAATCCTCCTCTTTTTGCTGAGGAAGACTGGCTCTGAGCTAACATCTATTGCCAATCCTCCTTTTTTCCTCCTTTTTTTTTTCCCCAAAGCCCCAGTAGATATTTGTATGTCATAGTTGCACATCCTTCTAGTTGCTGTATGTGGGACGCGGCCTCAGCATGGCCGGAGAAGCGGTGCGTCGGTGTGTGCCCGGGACCAAACCTGGGCCGCCAGCAGCGGAGCGCGCGCACTTAACCGCTAAGCCATGGGGCCGGCCCCACACAAACCCCTACCTTAACACAGAAAGAGCCCACGGGCAATAAAGAAATGGGAGCTGGGGAAGCTGAGCGGGGCTCACGAGGGAACATGCCGAGGGCCAGCTTAGGTGGGGACAACACTAGAGCAAGTAGAAGCAGGCTGAGACCCTGAGGACAGCCATGGGCTGGTAAGGGGACCAGGGGCTCTGGCCTGATGACTTAGCGGGAGAGGAAGGGAGACTCTGGGGTGCTGGTTACCTTTTGTTTCTTGGTCTGGGTGCTGGTTCAGGTATATGTTGAACTTGTGAAAATTCATCCAACTGCATACTTATGGTTCGTGCATTTTTCCGTACATAGGTTCTATTTCTACAAAAAAGTATTTGCTTTGTTTTGTTTTTAAAAAGAGGTTGATAACACCACCTGACTTTTGAGTTTCCTGAGAGCATTAGCAATACGAGATGAGTAAAATGGTGCAGCTTCAAGCTGTGGGAAAGGACAACAGCTTCGAGGGGCTCATTCTTTTGGGGAGGCATGAGTATGAGGAGACCCACACTTCCAAGGGGCTAGGGTCAGATGGGAGGATTACTCGGCCCATGCAACTATTGAGAAGGCAGAGGGCGGCAGAGCGAGCCAGATGGTCATGGGTGCTGGACAAGACTGCAGATGTAATTTGCACCCTGCCATACCCACAAATGTTCAGGAAGGCCACTAAGTCCTTACAGTGTTGGACTCTGGCCTCTGAGGAATTAAACAGGCCTGCAGACTTAGGTGCTGACGCAGAGAGAAGCAGGAAGCAGCAAGGTGAGAAATTCCCAGTCCAGGGCTTTCAACTGTCCCAGGGTGGGAGCCAAACTTACCTCCGTTTCCAAGAATCAGGAATGCTCTCAAATCAGGATATCTGATTACAAGTATATCAAGTGTCCGAACCATAACGGGTTCAATACATAGTAGCTATTACTATTTTCCTATTGGTCTGCAGTCAGGAGGTACCTACCCGGAAGTACCACAAACAAACTCCACCTTAGCACTTATCCTGGGCAAGGATCCCACAGGCATCCAAAGATGCCAGGACCACAGTCCCTGTTCTCAGGTTACTCACCCTGTGTGAGCAAGCAAGGAGGAAACCAGACAAGCACAAACAATCAAGGGCTGCTCTGTCGGTCCTTTAAACGTCCTCTGTCCAGGACTTTGGACAGAAGTGGGTGGGGGCCAACCAGAACCCCAGCCAGAAGGCACTCCCAGTCCCCCCACCCAGCGACAACCCAGCAGGCACAGTCTCCAGGCCTTTAGAACTGTTCCTGCAAAACCCTTTCAACAGCCCCATACCCTGGAAGACCACCGCTCCACCTTTGAATATACGCACTGATTATAATATGCCACATACAGGGGCCGGCCCCGTGGCTTAGTGGTTAAGTGCACGCGCTCCGCTGCTGGCGGCCCAGGTTTGGTCCCGGGCACACAGCGACGCACCACTTCTCCAGCCATGCTGAGGCCGCGTCCCACATACAGCAACTAGAAGGATGTGCAGCTATGACATACAACTATCCACTGGGGCTTTGGGGGAAAAAATAAATAAATAAAAAATTGTTAAAAAAAAAATATATGCCACATACAGGTAATCATTAATGCAGCTGTACTGAAAACCCATTTCCTCCAGTCTCTCTTCCAGGACTTTCACACTGCCTTCTCCACAGGATTCCCTAAAACATAAAAACGTAAGTATAAAAATAAAATAAAAGGAGAAGAGGATAGAGGAAGTTGTTTCTGGGTTAATTAAAATTTCTTTTAACCATGTGCTCCCCGGATATTCTCCCCTCTGGAAAAGTATCTGGGAAAGTCTCTGGACCCAAAACCGCTGCTTACGGTAAACCCGCAGCGCTCCAGGAGCGAGCGCTCTGAGTCCCAACACCCAGTCTGAGATTCGAGAGTCACGCGCACTAGGAGGGCCTATGCCAGCGCATGCGTAGTGTGCCACAGGGCGCATCCTAGCCCCACCCATCAACACCCCTCCGTGATGTGCCCCGGGCCAGCACAATGCTCACTGCTAACTTGCTCAACCTGCAGTATATTAAGTTAAGCTTTAAATGGAAACAAAAACATACAAATCAAAAAATATTAGAAAATGCAAATAAGCAAAAGGAAAAAAAATTACCCCAAACCCCACATCACTAGAGATAACTGCTGCTAACATTTTGGTGCGCATCATTCTAGACTTTTTAAATATATTTATTCCCACGAGACTTTTAAAATATAACAATGGGATTCTGCTGTCCAATGCATTTTGTATTCTGCTTTTGCCCATGTCTGTGTATATACCCGTATACCTCTCTGCCATTATTTTTAATTCCTGCATAGTCTCGCTTACATAATCAGAACATAATTCATAAAACCAGCCGCCTCTTGTTTAAAGATCAAGATTCATTCCTATATTTCGATGTCATTGGCACTACAATGAACTTTGTTGAAGCTTCGTTTTCATACACCTCCTTAATTATTTGTTTCCTTAGCATAAATTCTTGAAAGTAGATTTTCTGGCACCAAGGTTTTGAATGCATTTTAAGGCTCTTGAGAAGCCAAATTGAACCCCATGGTGACCACTCGAACAGAGTGTGAAATGTCTGTTACACCGTCATCAACAGGAATTCTTGCCCTCTCGATGGTCGTAATTAAGCAGGGGGGATTTATAAAGACAGACAGGTGGATACAGCACTGCCAGCTGTGGTTAGTGGGCATGGTATTCACATCGCACGTAGGCAGGGCCCCACCTCAGCGTAGGTAGAATGGGAAGGTAAACAGCCTCTCTGCTATAAAATTAATAGAGAGGGAGTATAGTGGGAGGAAATGAGCCATTGGAGGAAGTTTTCACAGAAGAAGTGGAATTCCAGGCATTACAGGAATGAAGAGGGCAAGGTGTTGAATAACATCATGTTTCAGAACCTTGACAAAATCTGGGATGATGTCCTTCTCTGGGCCAAGCTCACTACTTAGAATTTTTGAGTAAACAATGACATGGATGTTTCAGGACACCTAGACACAGAGCTCAGTCGATGGGTTATTTTACTAGTTTTTTAAATAAAGGCAGCTAAAGCAGTGCTGAACACAATCAGGTATTAGCCATGTTGTTTTTAGCTCTCTGTCTCTGACTTTTTCCCCCTAAAATCTGAGCAGTTCAGGATCTCCACTTTCTTAGCTCACGACCTGCAACTCCACTCTGTGGCACAAATGTACAAGCAGGTATTCTGACTCCCTGTTACCAGCTCTCCTACAGCAGAGATGATGGCCTGAGATGACCTTCAACTGCAATTTCTGTATCTCATGAAAGGTAAGTTCAAAGGACAAGCTTTCTCTGATAAATACATTAAAACAACAAGCAAGCATAATTTCTAGACAAAGAGCAGCTTCTCACAGAAATAAGAAAAACAATATGCATTTTTCTTCATGCAACAAAAAGTATAACTTGTCTTCTGGGAAGAGGAATGTAGATCCTGATATAACTATGTAATAAGTCATTTGCAAATTTAATCTATTGCCCAAGAGACAGGAAAAAATATCACTCATTATATAGTGAGTCTTAGAGGGTCCTGGGGGCCTGAAATGGGGAATTTGCTAAGATTCTCCCAGAATATACTTTCAATAACACATCTGTTCATTGGGGTTGGCAATACTTTCCTCCATGTAGCATCAATGCTCTAAAGAACCAGGCCCCAGCCCGCCTCCGAAGCACCATCATGACTGCACAGCTTTAACTGGCTTAGCCTCACTGGTTTGTCTCTGAACCAACTGGGTTTAAGTTTTTTATCTTCAGTGTTGCCAGCAGTGCCTTTCATTGATGAGAAGGATGTGTTCAGGCTTGCATTTATACAAACTCGAGAGGTTTCCCACAAAATCTGGATCTTAAAAGATTTTTTGCCAGTTTGAGAGGCAGTTGTGGAAGAGGTTGTTCTCTCTAGAATAAAGTCTTCATTACATAGTCCTTGGGTCAATTCTGAGAACTCCTAGTGAGGATTTTTGGGCTTCAAATGACCAGAAAGAGAAACTGGAATTGACCTACACAAGTGCATGAGGAAGTCTCCTATCCAGTGCTGCCCAGGTCACTCAGAAAGGAACATGATTTTCCTTGGCTGAGAGGAGTACCTGGATAGAGGAGGTTTTCTCTCTGTGCTCAGGACTGGTGGTAGTGGCATTTCCAGAAAGTCAAGCCTTTGACTTTCTCTACCCACCACATTAGAAACAAAGCAGGCTATTGTTTCCCCAAAAATGAAAATGTAAAACAGACTTGATGATATCACACCCAAGAAAGGCATGTTTGCACAATCACCATCATCAATAGCACCATAACTTACACATTGGGTCCCCCAATTTCATGCATGACCCAGATCTCAATTCGTGTGATTTTATCCTTCTGGAAGTGGGGAATTTCAAAATCTGCAAAAAAACTGAGAAACAGGAAAGATATTTCTTAAAGTCCTAAAGCAATATGATACTTTTCCTATTTCATTGTTAGTTGATTTACACTTTGTTTTTTAGCTTTTATTTGTAGGTCACTTATTTCATTCATGCATTCATCAGCTGTCAGTGGTATAAATGTATAGACATGACTCTGACCTCCAGGTCATTGGACTGTTTTGCTCCACCTGAACTTACAGAAACGAGTATTAGATTGGGAATTAGGAGGATTCTCTTAGGCCTCCATTCAAAAGAACTAAAGAAACATTTTGGCATCTTGGTTGTGTTTGTTGGTGCTGGCATTCTTACCCTTTAACCGGATAGGCTCCTGTTGGCTCTGAACCATTCAGCATGACATAGATCACCCCAGAACTATCCTTTGAATACTGCAAGAAGAAGCAAGTATTTTGAGTAAATTGAGACGTCATTTTTCAGCTATAAAATGGGCTATTTTTTTTTCAGTTGACAATTCTCATCTTGTCCAGAATGTGATACATTTTGATATTTCATATGGGTGGTAGGGATGCAACTGGTATATCTTGGAAAGCAAATCGCTTTGTAATGTCAACAACTTACAGACTCAGTAATTCCATGTCTGGGAATCTACTCTAAGAAAATAATGTGAAATAGATTCCAGCATTGTATCAGCTGGAATAGACTAAACTATGCTGCCATTACAAACAACCTTAAATCACCAGGGCTTTAAACAACAAGGACTATTTCATGCTCACAATACATGTTTATCACAGGTCCATTGTCCTCACTCTGGGACCCAAGCTGATAAAGCCTCCACATCCGCAAAGTCCATGATTGTCAGGGAAGGAAGAAGGGAAAAGTGGCAAATCACAGACCAGTTTCTTAGAGGCTTCCACCCAGAAGTCACACAGTCACTCCCACTCACATCTCATTGGGCAGTGCAAGTCACACGTAAGTAACTTCAAGAGGCAGAGGAGTGCAAACCATGTGCTCAGAAGATGAGCCAGAAATCTTTGGTAAACAGCATGAAGGGCCACCACAAGCATTGTGCACAAAGATATGTACTGCAGCATTGTTCATAACCGATCTCAAAGAGTCAGCAATAAGGGAGTGGACAGTAACCCATGGTCCTTACATGTCTGAACTATTAGCCAGCCATTAATGAAAGTCTACAAACGATTTGCTATAGCACAGGAAGTGCTTACGTTTAAAGCAAAATGCAAGATTAGGTGGATGGAGGATGAGCTCTACTATGTGAAAAATAAATGGGCAAAAGTCTGGGAATATTAGTCAACCCCTGAAATTCCCAAGGGAGAGATAGGTCCAGAGAAGTTCCCCAATCTCCAGTTCAGTTACTACTAGAACATTTAATTTCCCTCATAAAATGTTTACACTAGAATGAGATATGTGGCTGGGCTTCCTCTCGTAGTCTCTGGCAAAGTGATGCCCAGTACCAGCTGCAGCAAAACAACAATGTACTCCATGCCATCCAGGTGTCAGATTGCTTCCAAACAGTGCCAAGAGTCATGGTTAAATCCTCACATGCCAAGGTCTGATGACTACTATGCTAAAGAGATTGCCTTTAGGTGGTAGTAATATAGATGATGAATTTTTTCATTTATATTTTCTGTAATTTGTCACTTTCTATCATAAGCAGCTATTACATTGATGATAAGAAATAAAATTAATTTAAAATATGCATGCAGATACAATGAGGCTGTATGATGTAGTGGTTGAAAATTTGTTCTCTGGAACCAGACTGCCTGGTTTCCAATTCTGCCCCCAGGCCCCCGTCCTGCTCATTTGCTCTGTAAGTTTAAGTTACACTTAAGACTTCGGTTCTTGACCTCTTCGTGCCGCATTTTTCCCATCTGGAAAACAAGGGGAGTGAGAGTCCCTACCTCATAGGATTGTTGTAAAGATCAAATCATTTAAAATAATAATTATTAACATTTACTGAATACTTCTCTGCTACGGTTCAGACCTTCTTCTCATCACCATACTGACCTACCTCTCCCATGCTTAGACTACCCACCCTATTCTAAGGGCTCATAAAACGTGGGCACAATTATTAGATTCCCATTATAGAACTGGAGGAAGCAGAAGATGGTGGTTTGGAGCACACACTCTGAAGTCGGGCAGATCCGCTGGGTGGGACGTATGGTTCCTCTACGTATAACGTTGAGATCACCCCGACTTGCCGTTACGACCCCACGTTCAGGTGATGACGCATCTGCAGCCTCCCAGTCCTCAATGAGGGGCTCGGGCAGCCCACTGCCAACTCACGGGAACCTGAACTTAAAACGGAACCCAGGGGTAGTGGGTTCCCACTGGAACTGGCAGGAGAGCACAGGCATGAACAGAACGTCCTCTGCCTGGAGCAAGCCCTCTGCTTAGCTCCAAACTGCAGCCGTGGTAGAGGATCTGACCAAAGCCCCTCTCATCCTCGTTAGCCATGGACCCAGTGGACACCTGGGCATCCAGATGAGAAAATGGGACCAAAAGAGACACGAATAGCCCAGCAGGGGCTTGTTGGCAGTGGGTGGAAGGACCTGAAGTCCACTCCTAGTCAATAGAGCTAACTTTTAGTAGTCGACAGCTCTTTGTCAGGCATTCAGCTAAGGAACTAACTCTCTTGATTTCTCATCTTTGGTCTAACCCTGGTGACAGAAAATGAAAGCTGCAGTCACTGGTATTTTATAGCTACTGATAATATCATCAGCTCTGGTGACAATATTCTCTGACGAATAGACCTACCTTAAAGGGACCATTTCTATATCTCCAGTTTATCTTCAGTCCCCTATCACCTCCTCTCCCATTAATATCAGTCTTGTGGACATTTCTGACCCCCACATCTAGCTCTCAGGTGACCCAGGGTCTCCCATAAAGCAGGGATTACCTCATTTTATATAGCAATCAAAATCACATTGATTTGAAGTACTAACAACCACCACAATATAATAGTAATAATAACGACTATTTAATGTCCTCATCTATAGCCAGCATTCACTGAATGTTTTCTCTGTGCCAGGCATTACATTAAGTATTTTAGCTCCTTAAATTCTCACACCTTTACGGAGCAGAGAGAATGAATCAGAATGTTCCAAAGGCTCAGAGAAGTTAAGTAATGACCCAATGACCCAGTTTCTGAAGCTCTCTGTCCCATGTTCACGGGTCCCACACTTGCTCAGCCACCCAGGTGTCCATCCCAGGATTACCTGGATGGATGCCCTTTTCCAATAAGAATCCACAGGATTGTTTTCACAATCTTCTGCTGTGGGGCAGGATTGGTAATCGAGTCCTACGGGGAAAATGGAAAAACATGTTCCATTTCAAAGATTATATCAGGGAAGAATTAATTTAAAATACTTACTGGCTCCACAAAATATATTTAGCCTGCATTTTGCACAGCGTACGGGAATTTAGCCTTCACAGTTCTACCCACTCAACCCACAAGGAGCCTGGTGAGTGACCCCTCAGTCCATGACAGGAAGACATTTGTCATTTTGCTCATCACAAATGTGAGGAAGGTGGAGAACTAAGCTGCTGGGTTATTTCTCTACTGGAGCTCTAATAAAGTGATTTAAAAAAAAAATCTTTGCTTTATTGGGAGAAGTGCCTTCTTCAATTAGCCCTGGTCTTGATAGTAAATACAAAAAAAAAAGACAGACTTAAAACGTGATAGTCCTTAGCCAGAAAACAGAAATTTTATACCATCTAAAATATATAAAATATTAAGATGCATTAAATTAAAAAATTTTAAGAACAAAATTCAGCAGATATATAATGGAATTTGTTTTCCATTTACTCCATAAAAAAAGGAGAAAGTGCTAATTGACAAGTCATTCCAGGGAGAACCAAACAAGGCAAAATGTGTCCTTCCTGAAGGACGTGCATGGAGCTTCCATAATCCTCTGGGTGCACTACCCTCCCAGCACCTCGATGTGTCACCAACTCGGAGGCTCTCGAACCCTATCATTTAGGGGTTTTTATGAAGATTTCATTATGTAGGCATGATTTATTAAATCATTGGCTGTTGGTGATTAATCTCCAGCCCCTCACTCCTTCCCTGAGGAAGGGGATGGGGCTGAAAGTTCCAACTCTTTAATCATACCTTGGTCTTTCTGGTGACTAGCCCCCATCCTGAAGCTATCTAGGGGCCCCCAACCACCAGTCATCTCACTACCATATGAAAGACACTCTCATCACTCCTCAGATTCCAAGGGTTTTAGGAGCTGTGTACCAAGAATCGAGGGACAAAGACAAAATATTTATTTTGTATTATACCACATTCTCTCTCTTCATACTCTTTCCATCACATCCTCCCTCATTCTCCCCATTCTCCACAGGATAATCAAACTGAGGCTTCCTGGTCACTGTCTGTTGGAAGAATGGCCATGTCCATTTGACCCGTACCCTGCAATGCTTCCCATCTCACCCATAGTGGAAGACGGAGTCCTCACAATGTCCTGTGCCATCTGGCCTTCCTTTATTCCTCTAACCTCATAGCCTGCTACATTTCTCTCTACTTACTGCCCTTCTTGCTGTTCCTTAAATATGCCAGCCACACTTCCACCTCAGGACCTTTGCACTTGCTGTTCCCTCTGACAAGAAATGTTCTTCCCCATCTCCTTCATGTCACTGTTCAAATATCAGCTTCTCAGCGAGGCTTCCCTGGACACCAAGGTAAAATTGCAACACTTTGCTCTCACCTCTCCAGCACTTCCTACTCTCTTTCTCTGTCTTGTTTGTCTTGGTACCCCTCATAATTTTACAGCAGACAATGTATTTTACTGGCTGTTCATTGTCTTATCTCCTCCCTCTATAGTGTAAGGATGGGGTATGATTTTCCTGTTTTATTCTCTGCTGTGTTCTCAGTGCCTGGAAGAGGAGGGCCTGACACACAGTAGGCACTCTGTGAATTGTAGTTGGATGGATGAATGAATGAATGGAGGAGAATAAACAGAACTGAGCTTAGGTTAATTCTTAGGGTGACTCGATACCCAGGGAGGAACAATCTCTAGCCTTCACAAAAGGAACACCTCCTCCCACCTTTTTTCCTGGCAGGCCACCTCTCGCTCATCCTTCAAGATCATCATGGGCGAAGAGCCGCTGGAAGCTTCCCTGATGCCCTGGTCCAGGCTGGTGTCTCACTTGCTACTCCTTAGCTCCCAGCTCCTCTCGCATCAGAACACACGCCCCCACAAGGCTACAAGCTCCCTGAGCGGGGCCTGCTGTATTGCCAGCTCCCAGTGTGGGAGTTGGATGAATGAGGAGAGGTTTCACTGCCATCAGGCCAGTCCTTGTGACTTCAACTTTCATTGTGACTTTGATCTGGAAATAGCTGCTGGCGGCCAGGAGTGCCATTTAAGAGCACAGGTTTCAGAATCCGGCAGAAGAGGGTTGAATCCTGGCCCTGCTTCTTCAAGTTATTAACCTCCCTAAGCCTCAGCTTCCCCCTCTGGAAAATGAGGATGGAGCGGTGGAGTTGTGCAGGGTGGAAGCATGGGTTCTGGCTTCAGACTGTCTGACTCTGCTGCTTTCTAGCCGTGTGCCCCTGAGCAAATTTCTTAACTTTGCTGTGCCTCAGTTTTCTCATTTGTCAAAATAGGAATTAGGATAGGACTTATCCCATGGGGCTGTTGCAGAGATTAACTTAGTTAATATTTAGAAAGTACCTAGCAAAAGCTAAGTGCTCTCTATCTATTATTGCTATTATTAATTAGTATTATCACCACCTACCTCAGAGGATTTGGGGCGATCAAATGAGATAAATGCATATGAAAGAATTTAGCATAAATGGCAAATGCATAGTAAACAGGAACTCTTACTTTTCTTGTGATTTCTGCAGGAGTCTTACCAGAGGCATTTGTCTGTCGACACCAGCTCAAGAAATCTCCAATCCGGCCATACAGAACATCGCATAGAGGTGTAAAGCGACGGGTGTTCTCTGCATAGCTAGTGACAAGGAGCTGGTTATTTTCCCAGAACAGAGACTAAGGAAAAACAAACACAAAATTAAAATATAAAATAAAATCACAACAGATTTTTTTCAGGCACAATATTACCAAGTCAGGCAACCATTTCTCCTTCAACTCTGACTTGCCTCACAACAACTTGATCTTTCCTTACCCATTCAGAGAGTGCTATCACCTCTCTTCTCTTTATTATAAGGGGATGATGCAAATGTTAATGAAATATTTTCCCAGTAGCACAATATATAGTATATATATTTTATATATATTCCTGGATTTAAAAAAAGATCAAGGGACTTGGGTTCAAATCTTGACTCTGTCATACACTAGACAAGTGATCTTGACCAAGGCATGTAATCTCCTTGTGCCTCAGTTTCCATCTGAAAAATGGGGAACATGAGCCCTTTCTCTTCTTCCACAACTGTGAGTAGGATGCTATGTGATCACAGAAAGCACTTCCTAAAGTGTAAATTGCCTTAAAAGTACATGACTTTTATATTATACTTGATAATTTCCACTATAAAGGTATAGTGTTTTCACATAACAATAATGCAAATAACAATATCCCGCTTGCCCATTATCTCATCAGATCCTCAGGAGTCCAATCAGTCCGTGTCCAGACTGGGCGCTCCCCAAGGGCAGGGCTGTTTTGTTCCCTGATACAACCTCAACCCTTGGCACGATGCCCGGATGTGGAAGTAGCTCAGTAAGTATTTACTGAGTTCATCAACTAGCACCAAAATCCATGAGAGAGGAGAACAAAATTTATGGCTCCCTTTTTACTGACACGGAGGCAGCAAGGTTCAAAATGCAACATATACCTAAAAACCATGTTTTCAGTCTATTATATCTCTGACCCTCCCAGCTTCATTTACTTGCTTTTACAAATGAAAACATCAATGTTAAGATTTTTTTATTTGTCAGAGTCAATATTACCTGATTTTACAATGAAAAAATCACGTTAAGAATTGTGATGTCAGGAAAACAAATACTGTGTGATCTCACTCATATGTGGAACATAAAAACGAAACAACGGGGCCAGCCCTGTGGCTTAGCGTTTAAGTGCATGCACTCCGCTACTGGCGGCCCGAGTTCGGATCCCAGGCGCGCACCGACACACCACTTCTCCGGCCATGCTGAGGCCGCGTCCCACATACAGCACCTAGAAGGATGTGCAACTATGACATACAACTATCTACTGGGGCTTTGGTGGAAAAAAAAAAAAAAGGAGGAGGATTGGCAATAGATGTTAGCTCAGAGCCAGTCTTCCTCAGCAAAAAGAAGAGGATTAGCGTGGATGTTAGCTCAGGGCTGATCTCCCTCGCAAAAAAATAAATAAATAAATAAAACTGTTTTTAAAAAAAAAACAACGAACAAACAAACAAAAAAAAACAAACTCATGGAAGAAGAGATCAGACTCGTGGTTACCAGAGGTGGGGGTAGGGGTGGGAAAACTGGAGGAAGTAGTCAAATGGTACAAGCTTCCAGTTATAAGATAAATGAGTACTAGAGATGTAATGTACAACCTGATGACTATAGTTAACACTGCTGTATGATATATAGGAAAGGTGTTAAAACAGTAAATCCTAAGAGTTCTCATCACAAGGAAAAATTTTTGTTTTCTTTTTCTTTTTTTTGTATCTATATGAGATGATGGATGTTAACTGAAGTTATTGTGGTAATCATTTCACGATATATGTTAAGTCAAATCATCATGCTGTACACTGTAAACTTACACAATGCTGTATGTCAAATATATCTGAATAAAACTGGAGAAGAAAAGAATTATGTCAGAGAAATAAAAATGATATCAAACTTTCTTTAAACTCAAGGTATTGTTCTAAGCAAGCATTTTACATAGATTTTCTCATTTATTTTCATTTTCTTAGAACTTTGAGAGCAAACAGAATACAGATGTGGTTTTCTTAAAGAAAGTGGTACTTAATAGATATAATCTTAAGGCATGTTAAAAGGAGGGATTGGTTTTCTGGAAGGATACTGAGGTTGAGAGTTTTCTGAATAACTCAAGGTTCAGTCCTCCGGGGCCAGTTAGGACGGAGGTTATTCAGAACTGGCTAGGGGCAGAGGCCAGGTGGAAAGGTGTGGCAACATCCTGACATCCTTGAGATTCCTGCACTGACTTATTGACTTAGGTAAGTCTCTCCTGCCCACATCACGCAGGAGACCCAGGGTCACTGTGAAGACAGAGCCATCTTCCCACCACTGAGGTCCACGTGCATATTGTGAGTTTGTTGCTTGACGTTTCGATGACACTGCAGGGTCGCTGAGGGCAGCTAATCTCACACCTGGCCCGTGCTCCGTCTATCTCTATAGAGACAGAGAGCCAGGTTTTACCTTGTCTCTGGGAATAGAGTGCCTGGAGAGGTTGATAAAAAGGTCATAGTCCGAGGGAAAAACAGAGCAGGGATCCTTGTCCAGCACCACCTTAAAGGCTTCCCAGATGGCTGTGCAGTTCTTGTTCCTGTGCAAAAGGAAAAAAAATTACAATGTGATGGCTTTCCATTTCTGTCAAAGTATTCCAAGAGTTTTACAAGCCATTTTGTCATATATCAACTCTGCAGAACTAGGCATATAAAAAAGACAGGAAATTGTCATGGCACATGCATTAACCTCAGTTCAGAAGAGGGAAAAAACTAACTTAGGTGATGGATTTAGAAATCTGACAGTGCGAGTGTCTCTCAGAAGGTGCTACACAAATTTCTTAGAGCCAAGGAATACAGTCTTGCCCCAGGCTCACAGAGAGAGCAGAAGGCACTGAGGTAGAAGGTGACAATTCCTATAAACCACACAGCCTCCCGGCTTCAGGGGCCTCTTCCTTTAGACGTGAGGTCCACTGTGCGGCTGGGGGCCAGGTGAGGTCAGGAGGATGCGCAGCATCTTGTAAAATCAGGAGTGAGCGCCAAGTGTTGCGAAAGGTGTTCCACCTCCAGCACCGGCCATGACTCTTAAAGTCCATTCCAGCTTTCCAAAAACATTTCCCAGCGCATTTGTAACTTTTTATTTCTCATGTGGGGTACTGAGTAACATGGGTGATCCTTATATTATTCTCTGCTCTTTTTTATTTGCCTTAAATGTGTCACAGTAAAAACTGGCACAGGGGGCCGGCCCTGTGGCTTGGTGGTTAAGTGCGCGCGCTGCGATGCTGGCGGCCCGGGTTCGGATCCCGGGTGTGCATCGAGGCACCACTTCTCTGTCCACCCTGAGGCCGAGTCCCACATACAGCAACTGGAAGGGTGTGCAGCTATGACATACAACTATCTACTGGGGCTTTGGGGGTAAAAAATAAAATAAATAAAATCTTTGAAAATAAAAAAAAAAAAACTGGCACAGGAAAGGGACGTTTTGAAAACAGAAAAAGTGGGTACAGAGAAGGAACAAACATTTCTAAGAAGCCAGTGCTGGCAAGCAAGAGAGACTCAAACTTAAAAAGTCTTCTAGATTAGAAGATTTGAAATTTGAGTTCCCCGGAAATACCTGGACTCATGGAATTCCAGCTGGAGATCGTATTCCTGGGTCTGACGGTTCTAGCTAAGCACAGGCTGGCTGTCACCCAAACTCACTTCTACTTAATACTCACCTCTAACGCACCCCCCACACCCTCCTTCATGTATATACACACACACACATGAGCACACCTCTCACCTCCAGACCCCACACACTGCACTCCTCACCCGTAGGTTCACCACCCCCCGGCCCCTCCCACCTCTAGACTCCCCACCCTCCACACTCGGCTCCCTTAATCCTTAGAACCCGCCCACCCCCCGCACAACCCTCATGTTAAGACCCTCTACTTGCCCCCACTCCCCCGACCTTCAGACCCCATTTTCTCCTCCCCACACCCTCCTCACCTCTAGACTGCCACTTTCCCCTGCCCTTGTGTTTTTCTTCCCTGCCTGTATTTCCCCTCCTCTCCCTCTCAGTCCTCTCCCCCTGCCCGCCCCCCGCTCCCGCCGGCCGCGCTCACCGCTCCTCCGTGCCCAGCAGCGAGCTGTACTCGGCACAGCGGCCCAGAAAGATGCTCTGCAGGAGCGGGCTGGTGCCCTCCCCGCTCCACCGCGCGCCTGCAGCGCCGGCGGCCCGCAGCAGCGGCAGCAGCAGCAGCAGCAGCAGCACGGGCAGCGGCAGCCGTGAAGGCTCGCATCCCCGTGCAGCCATCGCGGGGACTTCGGAGTGCCTCCTGGACTCGCTTCCTCTCCCCGCACTAAGGCGGCCCCCCCGAGCTGACGCTGGGCACGACTCGAGCCCTGACACCACCCTCGCTGACTTTCTGCTTCAGTCCTGGAACATCACCGGGGACAAGACTATTGCTCTTGGCTAATCTTGGCCGGAGTCCGGGAGGAGGGAGCCCCAAAGAAGCAGTCAAGTTGGAGAATAGGTGAGGAGAGTTCAGGCGGCAGAAGGAAGACTTTTCTGGCCCCAAACTATGAGAACTCGGACGGACGCCTTCTTTCCCACTGGCCAATGATGAGTAGGTTTTGTATTATTTTGTTGAAATAATAACCACAAAAACTAATATTTATTGAGCTGTTACTATGTGCCAAGCACTCTGCAAACATAATTTTCATTTACTTTTCATACATCTCTCTGAGCTAAGTTTATCAGCCTTATTTTACAGATGAGGAAACTCAGGAAAGTTAAGTAACTTGTCGGAGGTCACAATCTCACTTCCTGATAGGTGCAAAATCCTAGAGACAATTTGTTTAGAGAGCCAGGATTAACAGAATTCTGCAGGGAGGGCCAAGCCTTCAATTTTTACCGTAATTTAGCCCCTATGGCATCTTCTCAAGAAGCTGTTGGAAGATGTATTCCATAAAACAAGAAAGAGGAACATGTAGGATCTAAGAAACAAGACATCAACCCAGGAGAGATGGGAAGGAGGCTACCAGGATGACAACTGTACAGCAAGTCAAGAGAGCAGCAAGCTCGAACTGGGACAGTAAACTGGACAGCTCTAGGAAGGACGTTTCCATGAAACAAAGAAAAAGAGAGAGAAAGAAATCACACACACACCACCTGAAATATTGATTGATGCTTTTGAATGCATTGAGAGATTTACATATCTTGCAGAGAGTTTGACCATAATCCTAAGTGTACATAGAATACCAAGCAAACAACAAAATAAGCTGGGCGATAGGAGAAGGGAGACAATTATTACCTCTAGGGTAAGCAAGAAGTTTACAAGAAAGGAAACATAATCATAAAATACGGTAAGCTCAGCCATGAATAATATTCACAAGTTGTAAAAATGTAAATGCTGATTACTGATTTAAAGCTTGTATCCAGAAGACAGAGAGCACTCAACAACTCAAAAATAAGAGGAAAAACCCAAATTTTAAAATGGGCAAAATAGTTGAACAGATACCTCACCAAAGAAGATATTCATACCAGGTATTTACCAAAGAAAAAATAAAAATGTCTACCCAAAAACTTATACATGAAATGCTCATGGCAGCTTAATTCGTAATAGCCCTAAACAACATAAATGTCCAACAAGAGAAGAATAAATAATCAAATTGCAATATAGTCATACAATGCAATACTACTCAGCAATACAAAGGAACAAAGTACTGGTATACTGAAGAATCTAAAAAATGTATATACTGAATGAAAGAAGCTAGACATAAAAGAACACATACTTTATTATTCCCATTATATGTAGTTCTAGAAGAATTAGAGCATGCTGACATATAGAGTTGGGGGAAAAGAGATTTCAGATGGAACCAATTGCCTGAGCAAAGGCAGAATAATGAGCAAGCATGGAGTTTCTCCTGAAAAGGGTCAAAAACTTAGTTTGGCTGGTTAATAGGGTGCAGGCTGAAACTTGCCAGGAAAGTTAAATCATATAAGACCTTGAACACAATTCTAATTTGGACTTTGATTTCTTGAACATTAAGAGCTTTCAATAATTCTTGAACTTCCTTATTTAAAACTTTGTCTCTTTTGTTGGTTGGAATTCTTGGTTGCTAGAGGATGAAGTAAGAGAGATCATGCATTTAAAGTTCTTAGAACAGTGTGTTTCATAGTGTCCTCTCAATGAACGTTTTGAATACTTACCATCATCTTATTTATTCCTTGGCTTTACTTTCTGTTGTGGTAGGCTGAGTAATGGCCCCACAAAGATGTCCTAGTTCCCTGGAACCTGTAAATATGTTACCTTACATAGTAAGAGGGACTTTGTAAATGTGATTAAGTTAAGGATCTTGAGATGGAGAGATTATAATGGATTGTCTGGATGGGTCCAATTAATCATAAGGGTCCTTATAAAAGGCAGACAGCAGGATCAGAGACACAGAGAAAGCAATGTGATGATGGAAGCAGAGAGCTATTTGAAGGTGCTAGGCTGCTGGCTTTGAAGATTCAGGAAGGGGCCATGAGACAGAGAATGCAGGAAGACTCTAGAAGCTTGAAAAGGTAAGGAAACAGATTCTTCCCTGGAGTCTCCAAAAGGAACAAGCCATGCTGACACCTTGACTTTAATCCAGCGTGACTATCATTGGACTTCTGACTTCGAAAAGATAATAAATTAGGTGTCGTTTTAAGCCACTAAATTTGTGGTAATTTGTTACAGCAGCAATAGGAAACTAATATAGATTTTGGTATCTGGAAGTATTCCCCTTTCTGCCTCCCTTTTTTCTTCAGTTCCAAGACTGAGCTTGGGGCATCAGGAACAAGACTATTACTCTTGGCTAAATCTTGGCCAGAGTCTGCAAGGAGGGTGTCTCAAAGAAGAGGTGAGATTGGAGAACAGGTGAGGTGAGTTCAGTCATTGAAGAAAGAAGTTTTTCTGGCTCCAATCTATGGCATATCTACTATAACAAATGCGAAAAACATGGAAGTCGCTTGGAAGTGGGTAATGGGTTGATGCTGGAAGAATTTTGAGGAACATGATAGAAAAGGCCTAGATTGCTTTGAACAGACTGTTAGCAGAAATATGGGTGTTAAGACTCTGCTGGTAAGGTCTCAGAAGGTAGTGAAGAGCATGGTAGAGAAAACATACATGGTATTAAAGAATACCTAAATCATAAGCAAACTGTTTGTAGAAAAATAGATGTTAAAAGCCCTGCTGGTGAGGGCTCAGAAGGAAACGATGAATATGTTTTTGGAAACTGGAGGAAAGGGGATTTTCTTATACGCATGATGGTAGAAAGCTTAGATGAATTGTGTCCTATAATTAAACAGAAAATAGAACTTGTAAGTAATAAACTTGGATATTTAGTTGATATTTTCAAGCAAAGTATTGAAGGTGTGACCTGGTTTCTTCTTGTAGCTTTTATTAAAATGTGAAAGAGATAAAATGAGAGAACTGCTACAAAAAGAAATCAGAATTTGATGATTTGGGAAACTCTCAGCCTATCCAGATTGCAGAAGATGCTCAGGTTAAGAGATCCACTGTCAGAAAAGCATGCTCTCTAAAGAAAGCCAATGACGTGGTTAGACTTTTTCTTTTTTTTTTTAATTAAAAAATATTTTTAAATTGTGGTAAAATATACATACAATTTTCATCTTAACCACTTTTCAGTGTGGATAGCCTTTTGCTAGTGCTTGGAAAGTACAAAATGTTAGAGCATTCAAGCACACAGAGGGCTCTTTGAGGGATGTGTGACTCATGAGTACTTTCAGCTGTCTCAGCAGAAGCTAAAAAGAGATTATTCAGGAAAGATCTATGGAGGAGTCTCTTTTCTAGTGGAGTGAGTCCCTGTGACCCACAACGTTTTTGAGAATGTTATACCAATAGAAACATTGTCCAGTCGGGCTAAAAGGGACAGAGGACAAAATGAAAGAAGGATGTCAGACTCCCCAAATGCTGCAGGCAGAAGACAGGCTGATAAAAACTACTCGGTGGCAGACAGGTGCTACTCTTCATGGAAAAGGATGACTCCAAGGGTGGAGGCACAGCTCCAGAGTGGAGTCATGGGTCCAGAGGGCAAAGGCACAAGCCACATAAGAGTTATTCCCTGGCTTTGAAACTTAGTGGAGTTTGCCCAGATGGACTTTGAAAGTGATTGGCTCGTGACTCCTTTTTGCCTTGCATTTTCTCCCTTTTTGAGTGGGAATGGCTGTAACTTTTAGCCTATGTTTGTCTCACCACTGTAGTTTTGGAGCAGAGAACTTGCTTTCTAGTTTCATAGGTCAACAGAAAGATTTTTCCCGAGAATGGATTATACCAAGAACTGCACCCATACGAATTTAGATGATTTAGATATGAGATTTGGGACTTTTGAGCTGATGAGACTTAGATGACATTTTGGAGTTGATGCTGTAATGGGCTAAGACTTTTGGGGAACTTGGGATGAATGAATTTCCCATGTCGGGTGGATATGAGTCTTTGAGGACCAGGGGGTGGACTGTCATAGGCTGAATAATAATCCCCCTCCAAAGATGCCCAAGTCCTAAACTCTGAGACCTGTGAATATGTTGCCTTATATGATAAGAGGGATTTTGCAGAAATGACATATACTGACAGAAAGACACAAGACCTCTTGTAAGTGAGCATAAGTGAGGCCATCTTGTTACACTAAATGGCCCCAGCCCCTCCTCTGCATGACTACTCATTGCTCTGCACGTACTCTAAAAAATTCACATGTTCCCATAGGGCTGGCCTGGTGGCATAGCGGTTCAGCTCATGTGCTCTGCTTTGGTGGCCCGGGGTTTGCGGGTTTGGATCCCGGGCACGGACTGATGCACCGCTTATCAAGCCATGCTGTGGTGGTGTCCCATATAAATTAGAGGAGGATGGGCATCAATGTTAGCCCAGGGCCAATCTTCCTCAGCAAAAAAGAGAAGGATTGGCAACAGATGTTAGCTCAGGGCTAATCTTCCTCACACACACACAAAAAATTCACATGCTCCCTGATTTATGGCCTCCACTTATGTATGTACTCCCCAACAGCTTGATAAATTAAAAACTTTGTTCTATGAGTTTCTCTCCAGGAACAGGTTGACCACAAGTGGGAAACACGCCTACAAGGTACCCAGCAGAAAAAGCTGACAGAAAAATGGAACAATGTGATGCCTGGAGCTCGTCATGCCTGGAGACCAACATCCTTGGACCCCCTCCTCACTGCCCATTTTCCCTCTATAACTGCCTCAAGATTCTGTAATCCTGGAAGATGGATTTTTTGAGACCTTGGTCACCTATCTTCCTATTGGCTGGCTAATCTAATCTAATTAAACTTCCTTTCTGGTTCTCTAACTCCTTGTGATTAATTGGCTTAGATCACAGCAAGCAGAGCAAGCCTATTGCTCGATAACACTCTGGGTCAGAGAGACAATTTATTAGTCATAGCGAAAAAAGAAAGCAGCCAGATCAGTATTGTGTGTGAGTTCCCCATGCCCCAATTCCCACAGCATATCATGATATGGGCCAGGTGTTACCTCTGCATCCAGTGGGTTGCACCACAAGAGACTCTAGGGTTTTATGGGGCTGCTGTTACATCTTCCCATCCTCGCCTACAGACAGATTACTCATTACTCCTGGAATGCAAGCAAATGTCTCTGGGAGGGGAAGGAAAGGGCTTTATCTTTACTTCCCTGGGATGTCTCTAGGGAAGATGTGTCTAGCCTTACTATCCTGGAATGTCTCCTTATACAAGTATTCTTAACTTGGATGCTAATTCTTTCATTCAGAGGATCCAAACATAGTGCAGAAATATGAGTTATTCATGGAGAATTGCCTTCCAATGCTTTATTTCAAGCACAAAAAAGGGGAAAACCTATTACCTTTAATAGAATAGAAAATCTGAAAAATCAAATATTACAATAACGCTAGGCATGGCTGATGGAAAGGAATCGCTAACCCATATTTTAGAGAAAGACCACGCCAAAAGAAACCTCATCCAGTGCAGTCAGAAAATACGTAGAGAAGCAGAAGTTGAAATTAGTTTGAGGAAGCTATACTAAGCAATATAAGTTGCTTAATTATCTGCGGCAATGTGAGGAAGTAACATCAATCAATGCCATTTTTGGATGTTTATAGAGATTATCTGACAAAATCCGATTTTAAAATATAATAAAGGCAAAGAGATTTGGTACACACAATAATTATTCCTGGGAATATGACCTCAAGTTACAGATATTAGGTATCATTGATTCATTTGTTCTTCATCAAATGTATATTAAATACCCACTTACTACATATCATGCAAGATGGACATGATCTCTACTTCTATGGAGCATTTATTCCAGGGTGTCAGCTTGACAAAACTAGTAATCAAATAAATAAAAATATTTTAAATTATATACTACAAAGAAATAAAAGGAAGAATAATGGAGGATGTACCAACTAAGGTGGTTAGAAAAGACTTCTTTAGGGAAGTAACATTTAATTCAATCTATTCTCAAAATAGCAGAGTGAGTCTTTTAATACCTGCTTCAGATCCTGTCTCTCCTCTGCATAACCCTTCAATTGCTTTCCATTTCTCTGACAAAATCCCAGAGGCCCTATAATGGTCTACAGAACCCTTCATGATTTGATCCCCAAATAGTCCCCCATCTCCTTTCTTATGACTCTTTCTATAACACTTATTATCTTCTAATTATTATAAAGCTTATTTATTATGTTTATTGTCTCTCTCTCCTTGCCAGAACATAAGCTCCACTAGAGAATCTTTGTTTTCTTCATTTTGTATCCCAAATGTCTCTAGAACAGTTCCTGGCCTCTAACAGAAGTTCATTACATTTTTGTTCAACGGACATAAAACTACATTATGATTTTATTAATATTTAAAGATAACAAAAACATAGCAAAATTATCACATTACAATGTCATATTTACATTTACACACAACATAGAAAAACATCACAAAAGAAACACAAAAACAAAAACCAGGTAAGATTTATTTAATGTGATGGGTGTGCTTGCCTGTTTATAAGTTCATTCCAGTCTGGAACACAGGAGGATAATGCTACCCGCATATCTGCTGCACTATTCAATCCATTTCTTTCCTTTGTTTTTAACTGAGTTAAAACTGAAAACCCTAGTTCGCACAAACTAGTTGTTGTGAATGGTAATAATAGCAGGACACTCTTTCTACTTAGCAAAGGAAAGTCTTCCTTTATTTTAATCCAAAATGCTGATAAACTTAATGTTTCATAATCATTCTTCAATGTATATGAAGAACTAAGCTGCAATAACTCATTCTCTTCTTCAGGCACCAAGTTTAACTCAATTATTGATTCTGGGTTTCGAAAAGCAAATGGATCTTTTACCCAACTGTTTTCCCTTAATGTTTCAAATTGCTCTTCTGGAAAGAAATGGTTAAAAGTTTTAGATAGAGAAGTGAGATGCAACAATATCTCTAATTTTATTTCTTTCAAAATGTTTTCATTAATAGTATTCTCTTCAATATGTTGCAAAAATCTTGGAAACATGTAGTAGCTAGGATGATTGCTCTTAAGTCTTGCTTGCCATAACAACAATGACTTTTGGAATCCTTGGATACGTTCGCCATGTTGGAATATATCACTGTTTTTCCCCCGCAGTTTTAAACTCAGTTCATTCAGAATGCCAAAAATATCGGTTAAATATGCCAATTTTGTTACCCAAATGTCATTTTCAAAAATACTTGCCAAATGAGATTTTTTTTCAATGAGAAAGATGTGAATTTCATTCCTGAGTTCGTAAACCCTGCTTAGTATTTTCCCTTGAGACAACCAACGAACTTTGGTATGATACAGTAAGTGAGTATGGTCAGTTCCAATCTCTGAACAAAATGTTTCAAGAAGTCGGCTATTTAGTGAGCTTCCTTTAATAAAATTAACAACTTTTACTGCATTTTTCAATACTTCCATGAGATTCTGTGGAATTTCTCTGGATGCTAACGCTTCACGATGTATAAAACAATGATTCCACACAGCACCATTATTAGTAACTTCTAGCAATTTTTTAATTACTCTGCTATGTTTTCCAGTTATGTTTGCTGTTCCATCACTTGTAATTCCTTTGCAGTTTTTCCAGTTTAATTTATATTGACCAACAATGCACTTTTCTAATTCTGTAAAGATATCTAATCCACTTAGGTGTGAGGTCAAATTTAAACAACACAAAAAATCCTCCATAAACTCATTTTGCCAGGCATATCTGACATAAACTAAAAGTGTTAAGCAGCTTCCAATATCAGTACTTTCATCAAGCTGGATTGCAAAATCTATACCAGACTGTAAGCGATTAATAAGCATTGTTTCTAAATGTTCTGCAATAGTACAAATTCTAAGAGATATTGTGTTATCACTAGGTATAGTTTTTAATTTATCAGCTGATTTATCATCAAAAATTGTACGCACCATATCCAAACATGCTGGAAGAATAATTTTTTCAGCAGCTGAGTGAGCCATTTTCTCTTTTGCCACACGATACGCAACTAAATATGATGATAATAAGGCTTTCTCACTAACAGTAGTAGAACAACTAAGAAATTGTGTTGATAACTTTACATCTTTCTTCTTTCTTTGAAAATATTCAAGAGGCTTATCAATAAGCTCAGCATGCTGAGTTTCTAAATGCCTTTTTAATTTTGAAGGTTTTAAGCTTTCATTTGCAAGAATATTATTACAAATAATACACTGAGGTCTGTCATTTTCAAAGGGTTTTTCACATTTGATAAAACCATATTTTAAATAATCTTCATTATAACGTCTTGCACTTACTTTTTTCTTTTTGAAATGTGGCTCAAACAAAGTTGAATTATGCAGATTAGCGTCAATATTTTTCTGAATATCGTCACTATTCACTCTTCCAGATCCAACAGTTGAACTTGAACATGTTTCTGCATATTTCACTTCATTAATCCTCTTTCTTTTAAAAAAGAAATGATCCATTTTAAAAGTAATTTTGATTAAAATGTTATAATTGCAACTAACTCATTTATATATTTATAGTCTAGATAACATCTTTCCAAAAAATGCAGTTTGCAACTGAATCTCAGTTGAACGTCTCAGACTTCACGTCTAGTTGCAAGTCATGGTAATATAAACTAGACTGCTCATCAACCTTGTTGTTATGAAAACCACAGAAGATACCAGTGGACAAATGATTGAAAAGCCACTTCTTGGCCAATATACATCCTATTCATCATGTCCCCTCCATGAAATATCTTTTCATATATTCAAACTGACTTTAGTATTCCTAGAATGTGCAAAATTCTGGCAAAGGATTCACGCAAAGTACTCTGATATTTCATATTTTATTTCACTTTTAAAAAAATGTTCATTGTGACTCACAGAATTGATTTCATGACCTACAACTGTGTCACATCTAATGTGAAAAACATTGATATAGAAACATTTTCCTCTGTTGTGTTGGTAGCTTGAGTATGTCTGCTTGATGATCAAAGAAACTAGCTGATCTGCTAGACTGTTGTCTCGTGCAGGAACTTTCTTGAAGTAGTAGGTATATATCTCAGATTTTCATTCCTGATAGCTTTTGATGGGAAGAGTTTTTAAAAGTGCCAGTTATGGTCTGATCTAGTGAGGATCCAATGAAGTTTTCCACGGCTAGGTCAACTATCAGGTTGGAGCTGGTAATATATTTTTAGAACTTTCTTGGAATGCATCCTTGACCTGGGAATAAGACAAGAGACTTGACATTAAAGCATCACAATACAGAGCAATATTACTGCCAGCTACGGGGACATTTATGATATCCAAAGTGATGGATGCTTAAGCAAAAAGTCTGTAGCTCATCTCATCACTATGTTATATAGGGTTAGGCCTATTTCTACAAGGCAAACCACCTCAAACAAGACTGGTAAATAGGAAAAATGATGTCAGTAAAACCTGCAAGTTGGCATTGGGAGTTGCAAAGTACATTGACACAGCTGAATACAGCCAGCATGGAGGAGTAGCTCATTCACCACATATGCTTCCTTTTAGTTCAATTTGGCCATGTCCATCTTGGAAGTACTTACTGCACTGCCCTCTTTAATCTTAGTGTATCCAGGTCTTATCACTGTAACACAGCACTTCCTTACATGCATTTCCATTATCTTATGTCACTTTTTGGAGGGAGGGGTAAAGTCATATTTACTGTAGTGTTTTTTATTAGAAATTCAATGTTTTGGGGCCAGTCCAGTGGCATAGTGGTTAAGTCTGTGTGCTCCACTTTGGGGTCTCGGGGTTCATGGGTTCGGATCCTGGCCACAGACCTATGCACCACTCATCAAGCCATGCTGTGGCGGTGTCCTACATACAAAATAGAGGCAGACTGCCACAGATGTTAGCTCAGGGCCAATCTTCCTCACCAAAAAAAAAAAAGAATGTCTAAAAGAAAAGTCTTAAGAAAAAAAAAGAAATTCAACATCTTAACAGTGTTAATACTTTTATCAGGATTGTTTGGGGCTGGCCCAGTGGCGCAGCGGTTAAGTGCATGCACTCCGCTTCAGCAGCCTGGGGTTCGCAGGTTTGGAACCTGGGTGCACACTGACACACCTCTTGTCAAGCCATGCTGTGGTGGTGTCCCACATAAAAGTATAGGAAGATGGGCACCGTTGTTAGCCCAGGGCCAATCTTTGTCAGCAAAAAAAAGGAAGATTGGCATCAGATGTTAGCTCAGCGCTAAACTTCCTCACCAAAAAAAAAAAAAAAAAAGATTGTTTCCATTAACTATATTTTCTTATTTTCTGTATTCTTGGTGCTCTGGCATCTGGGTTCTCACTAATCAGGGAGGGACTGATCCTCCCAGGGTTAGCTAATTCCTAGAGATAGCAAACAATTCAAGTGATAGCAAACCGCTCAACCCAGGAGCACAACTTTCATGTGCAAACTAACCAATTCAGAGCCCACCCTATTGGTACGCCCCACTTCCATCAGGCTCTTACACTCCACCAATATTCTCCTGCTCTAATCATCCCAGGGCCAGGTACCAGGCAACTAGGGACAGCTCCCATGCTTTAGAACCTGCTGAAATTATTCAAAAAGCCAATCCTAAACCTGCTTACCCTGCCTCACCCAGTCCTTCCCTAGAAAACCACAATACAGGTTTTTCTACAGCCCCCCTTCCACTCCCTCTGCCTCAGGACCAATCCTGATGCTCCCCTGCGTGGCCCACCTGTGTGGAATAGCATGCTCTACCTCCAATTTCTAGGGATCTGTGAGCATAACAACTTCCTACTTCATGATGGCCATTTCTGTGTCTGTGTATCTCATCATATCTGATTAAGACAAATTCCCGGTATATTTTAAATCATTTTTATTTTGTTATTGCCTTGTTACAAAGTAGTACAGTTTGGCCCTAATCCTACTTTCCCCATAAGGTCTGTTATTTTTTAGTATAAATTTTGCATTCCATGAGTTCTTCTAAGAAGTCATAGCATTAAAGCTGAAACACCTGTATCTTGAGATTAGTTTTATTACTTGCCTGGTGAACAGGCTCCCCTTATCACTTGAGAGGAAGATTGGAATCCCCCAGTTTTGGGCACAGACTAAATATTTTTCATTCTAGCTATCACCCATCCTTCACCTGAGTGAAACAGAGTATAGTACAGTATGCAAGCAAGGTATAGGTTTCAGGAATACCAGGCAGCACTCAAAAATGTGCTACAAGTTATCTGAATACCACCAATGTTCATCAGCCTGTTGACATTGTATTTATGTGGGTGCCTAATCTTTTAATAATAAAGCCAGCTTTGAAAGAGGTATCATAAGGGACGGTGACCTTGAAACAAAAAAGGTGTTGCCAGAAGGGAGAAGGCCATAGCCTTGGTGATATTCTTCTATGAGACTTCATTAATTATATCTACATGGACTTTATTCTTAACAATAGTAAACTTGAAGGGGAGTTACAGTATATCACGTGTAACGCATTTTTAAAAAAATTTAATAGACTTTATTTTTCTAAGAGCAATTTTAGGTTCACAGCAAAATGAGCAGAAGGTGGAAATTTCTCACGTACTCCTTGCCCCCACATATGCATGGTCTTCCCCATTATCAAGATCCACCACCAGAGCAGTACATTTGTTACCATTGATAAACCTACACTGACGCATCATAATCACCCAAAGTCCATAATTTACACTAGGGTTCACTCTTGTGTTGCACATTCTATGGGTTTTGACAAATATATAATGACATGTATCCACCATTATGGTACCATACAGAGTATTTTCAGTCCCCTAAAAATCCTGTGCTCCGCCTCTTCATCCCTCCCTCCCTCCCCCCAATCCCTGGCAATCACTGTTTTTTTTTACTGTCTCCAGTTTTGCCTTTTCCAGAATGTCATATAGTTGGAATCATACAGTATGCAGCCTTTTCAGATTGGCTTCTTTCACTTGGCAACATGCATTTAAGGTTCCTCCATATATTTTCATGGCTTGATAGTTCATTTCTTTCTAGCACTGAATAACATTCCATTGTCTGGATATAACAGTTTATTTATCCATTCACCTAATGAAAGACACTTTGGTTGCTTCCAAAGTTTGGCAATTAGAACAAAGTTGCTATAAACATCGGTTGCAGGTTTTTGTGCACACACAGGTTTTCAACTCTTTTGGGTGAATACTAAGGAACCAGACAGGTGGATTGTACGTACAGTGCATTTTTAATGAGGATCCCAACAAAGGTTATGTACCTTTTTGTTGTTGGAGCATGCCAAAATTGGGAGCACAGATGATGCTTTATAGACAAAGTATAAATGTTGATTTTGTTTTTTGCAATGGGGCCAACTCTCATTCATACTGACAGACTTCAAATAATGCCAAAGGGACTGCTCTAGGATCTCATGAGTTGTGATGGCCTAGCCTGCTACTGACCTACCCTGTTGGTCTCTGATATGAACTGTCAGAAAACAAAACCAAGTCAGAACTGAGGAGGGTATAGACCTGAAGGTATAGGCAGGGGTAAAGGTGGCTGCTGAGATGGGTCACGTGATTTGGTATAATTCAGTGAGAGTGATGTGGAGAGCTGTCAAGAGAAGACTCTTCTATTTGGTAACCTTAGCACTGGACAAATGTTACATTTTGAATTTAAGGGATGAACCTTTATACAGACTGAAAGCTTTAAAGGGCATCTTAGAACAATGTTGTTGGAATGCAGCTTCAGGAAGGTGTCAGGAAGGTGGTAGCAGGAGCCACTTGAGAAAAGAGCTATTGCTACAGTGAGTAGGATTAAGATGTAACATGCAATAAAGCAAAATGTATCACCTTGTCTCCAGGCTAGCTCTCTGTTGGCACGGTTTTCTACTTATAGTAATATAAATGGTTGGTGTCATCCAGAAGATCTATAAACAGGGGCACAGGTCAGGGTTTATTTACTAGGGCGGTGGCAATATTAAATGTTGTTTGCCTTAGGAATGCCTTGAAAATATCAACTTAGTTATTATAAATTCTTTAACTATTGCCAAGTAGCTAGAGATCTACCGTATATGGTACCTGGTTATACTTAAAAAGGCGTGCCTCATAGAGAATTCAGGGCCTGGTAGATGCCTTTGACTTAATCTTGGTTAGACGTTTCCTTGAAAGATGACATGTTCCAAATATTTTACCTTGGTCTGAATGAGGCAAAAAGCTTTTCTTTGGAGGTCTATGTCCTGTCTGCCAAGGTAGTTAATAGGACTAAAGAGTTTATGGCAGATGCCTCTTGGATGCCAGAGCATGGTATACATAATGAACATATTAAACCAGAACTAAATTGCTGGAAAAATAACTGCATCTAGCTCTTTTATTGCTTCAAGGAAATTGGAGGGCAATTCACAGTAGCCTTGAAGCAATCTGACTCAAATATCTAGCTGCCCTTAATATGTCAATGAGAACAATTATTGACTCTCTTCCTCTCAAAGTTATAAGTTCCAATAAGGATTATCGATTGTTTTTGACGCTCCTCCTCACCCTAAAGAAATCTCAGACCACTACAATTTTATCCTGTATGACCTCTCTCCAGATATTTCATAG